TGATCACGAATCACCAAGCAAGTTAGAGCGTCAAAGTAAGGCACAACGTATTCTAGCGCCTCAAAGCGAGGCAAATATGCCATCTCGCCTATCAACCGCAAAGGACACCCAACAAAAATTAGGTGTTACCTCGAACGCAACAAATCATTCAACGTAACAGGATTACAGTGCTACCGGGAAAATCGTGAGCACTTGAAGTATCTCACCAATGTCTATTGTGTTATGAACAATCACAGCAAGGATCAGGACATGCGAACTAGCCACAAAACCACAAACTAAGGGGGTGTTTACATGAGAAAGCGCGCGTTCGGTTTCTTCTTTCACGAGGTATTACAGTAATTGATCGCAGGCGTTAGGATTGAACAGTGATCAGAGAGAAATGTTTACGATTGTTCATTTGTTGTCACTCATTGCATATCTTTGCATTAAAACGTCGCGAAATCCTAAGGTAATAATACAAAACGGGTAATTGATTTTTGAGGAAAGAAAGCTTGGAAAGACAATGCCCTTTCTATGCAAGCTTTCAATTGTCATGCGAGTGATTTATTTGTTTCTATCTTTATATATATCATTGCATAGTGACATTGGAGCACATCCATTTCAGACAAATTTGTATTTGTTTTCTTCTATTTTCTTAATTAATAATCTAAGCAAAATTTTAAAAAAAGGCTTAAATCTCGATCGTCGTTGCCCTTTCTTCCCTTATTGCCGTAGGTATAATTTGGTCACGTGATATGCAACACGAAGGGAATGGAGTACTTCAGTTGAAGTATCATCGTTACAAAATAACTATAGGAAGGGAAAGAAAAGCTTGCCTCAAATTTCTGTGATGAAATACAATAAAATTTGATTTGATAAACCCGTTCTTATCTTTTCAGGTTTTGAAGGAGCTGTGTCACGAAATTTCACAAAACTAAACAGTCGGAACTGCATATATACCGTCCATGGTAATTTCAGGTAGATCAACGTGTAGTCTGTCAGAGATGTTGATTGCTTGATTTCGTAACTTAATGATGTCATTCGACGTGATCGTAATAATGATAATGGTAATAATCATAATCATAATCATAATCATAATTATAACAATAATCAGTTTGTTTACAGTGGTAAGTGCACTCGGTATGACTTAGCTTATCAAGCTGGTTTACAAGCGCTCCATTCAAATATTTAGAAACTTGTGTCACCAATTAGTGCTATGCGCTAGAGATTCTTGACATGTTAATAAAGTTCACTACTTCTAATAATACTAGGAGTAATCGGAGCTTAGAACAGTGCGTTCGACATGTGTGTTAGCTATAATATATAATTAAGAGGTGTACAGGTAGAAGTGCTCTAAACCTCTAAGTACATATAAGTGACAACGGGTCAAACACTGATTATGATCCTCAGGACATTCTTTTGCACCGTAGGATGGTCAATAAAATTGGCTAAAAATTGGGATACAGAAAATTAAGGTCATCTGAAAAGTTCATTGACTGAGATGTCAAAGCGTCGCGTATCACTTTAAACCCTTGTTGTGTGTAGACCAATTTGAACTGAACTGTATTTAACTGTATTCAAAGGCTCGTTTCTTAGGTTATAAGAGGAGGTTTTCGCTAAGATTCACAGGATTCTTCCAGATTCCGACAGGCTCAAGAGGTTCGCACTGATACATTTTTTTAAGAAGAAAACGCGAAAGGCAAACCCTTACGTCATTGCGCACACTGTGTGACACTATAGGTTAACACGACTTACCTATTTAGCACTGTATTCCAAATACAACGCAGCCGGAATTAGTGAGATGAAAAGGTCAACGTTTCACCATTCAACTTCTGTTATAATTGTCAAAAATGGTGACAAAAAAATCGAATAAAACGCTGTAAATAGCTTTAAAAGCGATTAGATGTAATTTGTATAAAATTAAGTTAAATATGATCTGATATAAGATCTTTGCTCATAGAAACAAATACAGTGTGCAGAACACATTGTTGATATGATATCTACATATCCGCATGCCATATCCTCGCTGGCGCACGGAAGGTCGCCCGAAGGGTGACCGAAGGCTGTCGCCCGAAAGGCGACCGAGGCACGAAGTGCCGAGTAAAAAAGGGACACTGTAAGCCGATCTTGCGAGCCCTCAGTCTCTTGGTTTGCGGTCTATAGAATATGTAACGAAAACTGCAACGCGATCAAAATAACCATTTTTTTCAGAGGTTTTCGACGGGTTTTGAAGTTCTAACGACAAACACATCTCCTCTGGACCCTGTCTGAACGAGTGTCACAAAATAGATACGACAGATACCAGTTCCCTGGTGAGAAAAACTGTTGCCAACGCAGCACCAGCGATCACTGAGAAAAAGATGAACAAGTCGCTTTACGACGGACGATCAAGAAAAAGATGAAAAACGCTTTACGAAGACAGGAACGCATGATCACGAATCACCAAGCAAGTTAGAGCGTCAAAGTAAGGCACAACGTATTCTAGCGCCTCAAAGCGAGGCAAATATGCAATCTCGCCTATCAACCGCACAGGACACCCAACAGAAATTAGGAGTTACCTCGAACGCAGCAAATCATTCAACGTAACAGGATTACAGTGCTACCGGGAAAATCGTGAGCACTTGAAGTATCTCACGAATGTCTATTGTGTTATGAACAATCACAGCAAGGATCAGGACATGCGAACTAGCCACAAAACCACAAACTAAGGGGGTGTTTACATGAGAAAGCGCGCGTTCGGTTTCTTCTTTCACGAGGTATTACAGTACCTAAACACCTTTACATTAACACATTTTTGGTTCGAAAGGGTTCTTCGTTTTGCGAGAGAGGACGCTTGAATTTCCAGGCTTTTGCGTGAAGCGGCATTTAGCTGGCCGCCGGGAAAGCTCTTATGTGGCTTAAAAACAATGCCGATTTTGGGAGATTTTGCAATGTAAACATTCCTTGTCTTAGAATAAATATTACTGTAATCTTTATGAGTTCCTCAAGCGAAGAATTTACGCATTAGTAGGAAAACTCGAAAACAGATGTTTCTGTTGGTATCCGGCGGCCATATTGGTGTTCCTGAAAGGGACACCAACATGGCGTTTCCATACAAAGCTTTATAAATTTAGGTAAACCGTTTTTCCCAATATCTCGCATTTGAAATATTTCACAGACCTGATTCTTGGCAAGGGTTTTTGTATATTTATCTTTTTTCATTCCCAGATTCTAGTTCCTCTGTATTGAATGGTTTGCATTTTTATTTTTCATTGCGTGACAGTGCAAGCCGAGAATATTACGCATGCGCTACCCGTTGGATAGCACTATCCAACGTTTAAGAAACTGTGGCCTGATCAAAACATGATAATTGAGCTGATCCCAACATAATAATCGAGTTAATGTGACTACAATCTTAGACCCTGATGATGATTCGATAATTATTCTTGGTTTGCAACAACGTGACATGGCGGCCACGTGTAGTCAATACCATAAAAATTATTTTAATTATTTCGCGATATTTTCTGAAATGCAAAGCTTGCTCGCAGGCCAATAAAATTTTCCATTGTCTACTGAATAAAACCACATTCCAGTTCGATTTTTCTAATATACACATAGGCTTACTTCATTAATAAGTTACCATGCTACTAACGATGACCTGTATATAACACGGGAGATATCATACCCTCAATTTTCAAATTTGTTCCCATTTTACCTTTATTTCTCGTTACAGGTCCTCACAATATTCAGTTTCTTATGATTTCCCTTTAACCTATTCAACTAATAGTTATAATCATAAAACGATAAGTAAGGAATTACTAACACCTTTCAGTGTACATGTTTCTTCCATATTTTTGGGAACCTCTTTTTTTTCAGTTCTCACTATATCTTACCTCACCTTATTCAGTATCTTATAATGTTTCTAGTTTTACTTTTTCTTTGACAGTTGTTACTATCAAGGAATTAATAAGCAAGGCACCAATTTCTGTGATAAATAGATTGATAAATAATAGCAAATCCAGTTTAATTCTGGCCGTTGTTTTAATTTCATTTTGTTTGTTTCGTCATAATTTACTATGTATCGTGATATAATTTGACAAAAATTAAGAAAAATAATATATGTAATAAAAATACTCTTTTAAGCACTCGTTGAAATACTAAAACACAACATTTTATCCGCTTTGTGTTTTTTTTTCCTTTGGAAACCGAAGTCTAAATTTAAGTTATTCTCTGCCAAAAATTTGAAATGTTCATTCCAAAATGATTCCTTCCAGACCTAGGTCAGAATTGTTGTTTTTAGTAATCACAATTTTCCAGAACAGTTCCTAGTTCAGGTTAATGAGTAGTTCTGTTTTGGATATGAAGAAGGGTTCCCGGCCTAGCCTTTAACGAATTACTAAGAACCATAAATTGTTTTGGTAACATATATAACCGTCAACGCTTTACCGGCCAAATGAAAAAAAATACATATAGTAAAAACCCGAGTGTTAGAACCTTCATTTTCTTTGTTAATCTAAACAGGTTCTTAAATAAATGGTAATTAGCACAAATTTAGGCTGTTTAGGCTCGGTTCTTATTTTCTGAAGAAAAAGAATGCATTGTAGCTAAGAGTATTTAGTGGTATTCGGCTTATTCCTTACATAAAATATGCATCAGTACCATTACATTGCAGTTGGAGTGATAACTTAAAGGCACCTATGTCTCCAAAGAGGATCCTGAACGTTGACCTATCTTATTTGCCCAAGGGTACAGAATTTTTTTTATATAGATTTCAGAAAATAAAAACCTGCTTCAAATTTTAGGTTAAACAGGCTCTTGTATAGAAACGGCCTAACTGGGAAATTTTAACCAAACAGTTTCTTAAAAATCAGGTTCTTACTCACGGGTTTTTACTGTATTATAAGTCGTCTTATTTTGTTAGATGTATAGTCTATATGTAAACACTTTCAACAAATCCCACACACACCACAAATTGCATCATCCAGTAATCCGTTAACCTAGTGATAGTAGATATTAATATTCATTACACAGAAGAGACAGGTCTAAATAATTAAAAACTGCGATCCCTTATGAAGCCTGCACGTTTTGTTGCCTTTTCTTGGTATTCCATCCTTCTGAAGTGCTATGTACATATCATGTGGAGTTTCCCTGTAGTACTTATGGGACGAAAACGTGTGAAATCCATTCATCTCTTTCACGTGCTTGAAAATTGTGCTGTCAGTTTTGTTTTTCTATAACAAAACAGTCAATTAGCCATATGCAAAAAATATATGAGAAATGTCAGAAATGGACCTGTTCTAGTAGCCATTCAAGCCCATTCCTGATGATTGTTTTAAACGAAACTGGCATTTTAAAAACATTATTTTTAGTGTTATATATATTCTTTCTTATTTTTAAAAAGGCAGCACTTCTAAATGATTTTTGTTGTTCTTTTTTTCATTTTCTACTCTAACATCGGCTTAACGCTTAAGACCAGCATTAAACATTCTGTAAATGGGTTTATGGCCATCCTTGTCAATGAATTTACGCCTTGACATTTTTGCGGGGTTTATATTTTAAAAGAAAGCATAAAAACATTTAATTTTCTATTCTGACTTTTCTTTAGTCAGTTTTCTCTTAATGTGGTCATCGTATCATAGTGAGGGAATCCATTAAGAAATTGAGCCATTCTAATTTTCAGAGGACAAAAACCTTGTACCAGAAAGAATAATTTATAATAAACAATATCGCATTCGTTTTTACATTTTTCAAGGGCTATAGATGCAATAAGTCGTCTTTGATAACACCAAACAAAATTTCTTATGAGAGCCCGAGAAAATAAATGTCAAATTTAACAGAATGACATCTTACACATGAAATTTTTAGAATTTTACCTGTGTTTTCACAATTCTTGTGAAAATTTACATTTATTTTCTTGGGCTCCCATGAGAAATAGTCTTTGGTGTTATTACAGATAACTAATTAAATATCTTTAACCCTTGAAAAATGTAAAAAAGAATGCGATATTGTTTAAATTATTCTGGTACGAGGTTTTTNACCAAACAAAATTTCTTATGAGAGCCCGAGAAAATAAATGTCAAATTTAACAGAATGACATCTTACACATGAAATTTTTAGAATTTTACCTGTGTTTTCACAATTCTTGTGAAAATTTACATTTATTTTCTTGGGCTCCCATGAGAAATAGTCTTTGGTGTTATTACAGATAACTAATTAAATATCTTTAACCCTTGAAAAATGTAAAAAAGAATGCGATATTGTTTAAATTATTCTGGTACGAGGTTTTTGTCCACTGAAAATCAAAATTACTCAATTTCCTAATGGATTCCATGAAACATTGTATTGGTGGTCAATTTTTGAATGTCTCATTAAGTACTTCAACCTTACTTTAAAGATATTGTCGCAATGAAACAAAACCGTCCTAGTTAATCTCCATGTTATCTTGGAGCTGATCTGATTGTGTGATATTCTTAGCTGGGAAACTTACAAAGGTTAAAGGGCGGTGGCGGCAGAATGCGGTTGTATTGATATTTGCTTTCAGATTTTGACACTATTGATATTTTTCGTGCGAAAAAACTGCAGAAGCAGATAAATGTTGGTATACAAACAGCGGGAGGGAAATTTTGGAGAAAACGATAAAACTGTAGAATATAGTATCCAGATTGCTGAAAAACATTAATTCTTTATTCGTAAATAAAGAGTTCCTTGAAAAAAAATCATGATGAAATGTCATTCTGAAAAGATAACCCACCCAAAGTTAGTAAGTGTTCGTTTTAATAGTTAAAATTTAGTTCGGGCCAGTTAACTGCGTTGTCTGTAGACAATGCAAATCAGGGTTTGGAAAATCACTGCTTATACTTTTGACAAAGTTGTCACGAGATGCTGCATTTCCAATTTGACGAAAACTTCGATCAACCTATTAAAATAAACTCTGTACCAACTGCTCCAAATGAGTAGAAGTCAGGAATTGTGCGCAAGCATCTTTCTCTTCCAGTCAATGGAAGAGAAAGATGCTTGCGCACAATGACAATGACATTGTCCTATTCCAGACATTCCAACCGCAAATTAAAGAATATAAATAGCTCCACAAAAACACAAATGTGCCACGCAATGTTAAAGATTAGTTACAAAAACTTTGCCCAAACAAACATTGTACCTTGATGTTCAAGAAACAGTCGCATTTTGTTGCATATCAATTACTGTTTTGTGTTGGTGCTTCGAGGTTGATGACTAACTATGGTTCAACTTAAGAGTACACCTGAGGTTATCATAAGTTTTAGAGCAAAATTTTTCTCTCTTTCAATTTCTGACATACAGAGAAACCAACTATGCAACTTCGAATTTCTGCCGTTACATTCAGACAGTGTTGAACTGACATTCACAAGATTAAGAGGAAATCGGATTCCTCAAATCATTTGGACTTTCGCGTGACTTCAACTTTAAAACAGTTGCCGAAGGCCAATAATGTTAGTCGAGCATTAACATTTGTAACCCAAGATTGTGTTTACTTCCTCATAGACTGTTTTGCACCGTCATTTTCGAGTACTTGTAACCCACCTGTGTGTCTAAGTAAATAACCGCCACTTACATGCTACTATACTGACTATACGGAAAGAATGTTCAACGTTCGCATAATCTTAACAGGGGTCTTTTTTTTGCATGAGCATGCGCACTAAGACTTGATAAAGAGCACGCGATTAGAGACTGCGACCAGGGTGCATAGTCATAGGAGTCAAATTCTTCACTTTGAAAGTTTGCTTGAGACTCAAATGGTAGCAGAAACTTAGGAAAGACCTTCGTTGTACAAAATAAGTAAAGAGTGATGCGTTGAACGAGGTTAAAAAGCAAGTTTGTCAAGGATGTCTGACACGAACATGGCTGCTTGTTGTTGTTTGGCGCTCGACGTGTGTCTTGATTCTCCTTCAAGAACCGCAAAGTTTGGCATAGAATGCATTGCTGATGGGTAGATATTGAGCAAAATGTTCTTTATTTAGTGTTTGTCTATAAATCGGATGTAAATTAGTTTCTCGATGCCGTAGAGGATTTCTGTCAATAATTTGTGGATAGCTTATTTAGCCATATTTCGGGAGTGGATTAATTATGATCACCGGGCGACTACCACGCTGTCATCAGTTGGAATAGAAAGGTGTTCCTTTTTAAAGTATTTTAGCCACACAAAGTTTGTTTATCGGAAAATTGTAGAAGTTCTTGTTTTTGCGTGGACTAACATTGTGACGCATCTTGTACAGGAGTTTGCTTTTAGCCAGAACGTAAGTGCTCTGATAATTTTTAACTTTTGGTCGGCATCACATGTTTACTGTACTTCTTGGGAAACCTAACCGATTGTTTCATCAAAATCGGTCTTAAGATTCGACTTTAATTTCGGTCCTATTGAAAGCAGTTTTGACTGTGCCTCATTGATATTCATTTTTTCTTTATTTTTCGAGACATACAGAGTTACTACCACCAACATCTCACCAGGTGACTAATCTACGTCTCGTGTGTCTTTAATTTTGTAGCTTAAAAGTGCCAGGAAAATTGTAGAACATATTATTAATTCACTGATGAACAGAACACTGACTTTTGCGCACTTCCAATCCACTCGCTGAAATTTGCAATGATATTTTTTTAAAATATGTGTGTTCCTTCCCATTTCAAAACAAAGAAGGTTGAAAGTGTTTACTTACATCAACAAACGTTTCGGCACTTTCTTTATACTTTGATGAGGTCTGCGCAGTCCTACAAGCACTACATATACCCGCGCTGTCGTCCAGGTAAAGTGGGAAGATAAAATTTGATAGTAGCTCCTGGTATGTTAAAGCCGGTCTACTTCGCTTTTGTGGAGAGCATGTAAGAGGTTTTTTTTTTTTTTTTTGGTAAACTACACACTTTGTACCCTGGTTCCAGAGGTCCGTTCTCACAATACCTAAGATGAAATAAACGTGCTCACGGGTTGATATTAAAAGCTTTTTCTCCTCGGCACTTCGCGCCTCGTTGAAGCGGCTTCGCCGCGAACCATCAGTATCGATAAGAAAAAAATATCCTCTGGAACCTAAGGTACACATTTTGTTAAATCACGAGCACATTCGCCAAAACCAACGAGCAAAATAATCGCGATGATAGCTTTGAGACACGCAAATTTTGATGAAGGCAATCCCTTTGGTGAGTCTCCGTGCAAATCTCTTGTCCAGCGGTCGAGCATGCTCATGCAAAAAAGACCCCTCTTCATAGTATCATCTTTCAATCGTAAACCCTAGCCTGGTAAAAATTCTGGTCTCTTTCTTTTAATGCTCAAGAGATAATCTTTCAAGCCGGTTGTCTATAGTAATGAATACAAACGTTGATGTTCTCCTTTATCAACAGTGATTCAGAAGACTAAAAGGAAACATCAGGAACTCCCTGCGGAAGAAAATGTACCCTGTTCCAGGCGTTCAGAACGTAGGGACAGCGCAAAGAGATGTGAGCAAAGAAATAAAACAACGAGGGGATGGTGCAGGGGTGTCCTTCGCGCCGCACTCCACTATCCGAACGCCTGGAACAGACTAAAGAAAATTTAAATTATTTTTTTTTTAATCGTCACAGAGATTTTTGGTTTCTTTTATTAATACTTTAGAGATAGTCTTTCATTTAAATTCTCCGAATATATACACACATGCATCGAGTTGCGCCATGCAACGATGACGACATCGTTTAAGTGAAGCGAAATGGCAAGACTTACGGTGAAACTAAAGATCGAATGGCTTCCCGAGGTTAATTCAGTGATGTTCGGAGATCTCGGTAACACTGAAGCAGAACGCTAATAAATATTGAAAAGTTCGAATTCTATTTTATACTAAAGGGTTTCTCCTGTAGCAGTTTATCTGTTTGCTTCTTAAGACTTCTTAGATTGTTTTTAATAGTACCTGTGCATACAGCATGGCCGAACCATCAAGACTGTTCAGTTCACATTCCATCTTTGTGGATTTTTAACAAAAAAAAGTGCTGAACAATATAATGGTATAATTTTTATACTTACCGTCGAAAACAACCTGCCGTTGCTATC